GAAGGAGAGGAACGTTTTCACTAGACTCACAGGAGACCAGGCAGTGCCTACATGGTGCTTGATCTGACTGCTGACTGGGTGTTTAGAAGAGAAGGCGTACTTTAGTGGCGAAAACTTCGCTTTAGAGGCAGTGTGGTGGATTCCTGATATCAAGCATGCTTCTCCGTTGCCCCATCCAAAACAGGATCAGCGGTGTCCAAGTCCGGATCGACGGCCAAAACGGGATCTACGGCAGTATCAAAATCGGGATCGGCGTCCAAGACGGGATCCACCGCTGGTCCTTCGGTAACGACGCCCATCGTTCCTCAGTCCGCTTCCACCAACCCTCCGCCGGCCCGTACTGGACCCGGGAAGGGGAAAGCTAAACGCGTCATTCCCCCTGGGTGTGGACTGGGTAGTTCGGAGGACGATGAGGATGAGGAATCTGACTGGTCCGACGGCTCAGGGCCTCCTAATCGATCGTCGTCAAAGCGTACGCCGTCTGCCGGCCTGTATCCCTTCACTCTAAGCGATGAGGACGCTGACGACGACGACGATGACGACGAGAGTCCAGAGGATTCAGAGGAGGCTCGAACCGCTGAGGAGGCCTTGGAGGAAGACACGCGGCGGGCTCTATCCCAATCCCGATCCGAAGCCCGGCGGAGATCCCTCTCGACGCCGCCTCCACAAGTCGCTGGCACAGCCGGATCCGGAGGCGCCACTGCTGGATCTGCGATCCACGTCGACAGTGGTGGATCGGGCAGTGATGGTGGGAGGGGGTCGCCTCGTGGTGGCGGACTCCTTGGATCTGGCGGAGGGGGTGCGCCTGGTGGCGGATCTTCCGGATCTGGTGGAGGGGGGTCGCCTCATGGTGGTGGATCTCCAGGATCGCCCCATGGTGGCGGTTCCCCAGGATCGCCTCGTGGTGGCGGATCCCCGGGATCGCCTCACGGTGGCGGATCCCCTGGATCTGTCTTGATCCCCGCCCCCCCTAACTCGTCACTGCCAGGGATGCTCCCCGTGGCTCCGTTCGGTCCGGATGCTGCTTTCATTCCTGGTAGACATACTAAATACTCTGTACTCAGTAGGATCTGTGTGTTACACTGACTAAAATGAAATTTCATTTTTCTTACTGCAAAAATATTAGCATTAATAAGTTATCTGAGTGGGTTTCTGGTATTGCTAAATCGTACATGTTACATGTACAGCAGTAGCCGGTCGTGTAGACTGGCCGTAAGAGCAAAACTGTGCTTATAAACGTTGTCACTTGATCCACAAAGATATATAGTGTTAGATTGACGTGTGAACAAAAAGAAGTTATATGTGCTGATGACAATTACTACTGTAAGCGAATTGAACTTGACCATTGTTTCCTTAGCGTTTTTTTAGACAACAAAATTCTGATACTTCTTAATAGGTAGACGCGTTGCCGACAAGGGCGTAAAATAAGGTTTTATATGCAGTGGTAAGATAACAGCACAACATGAGAGGTGTCAATTTTGGTTATTATAAGAAGGCCCGTAAAGAAACGTTAATCAACTTAGAGCCTAATCTACGTTTAACCATCCTGGAATCATCGTTTAAGTATCAAATAAAAATACCGCCGTCAACAAAAGGCGTCGTGCGACGCATCGTTATATCCAAAGGCTACAGTATAACCATAACAGGCACAGATTGGAGTGTCTAATGACTAATTCTGAATCAGCACAAAATGAACACACTTCAATGCATAAGAAAATGCTACAGCCTGAATATTTTTATTAAATATTCAAACTGTTACACTTTTAATTTTCTTTCAAAGTAGCGAGTTTGGTATGCGAAGTGGTTAATAGTCAGTTTATTACAAGCTTAACCAGGCAGTACAAGCGGGTATTTGATGCAAGCTGGACAGATATTCTTTGCATTGTTGCAATCTAGGTTTCAGAAACGGCCCGTGAAATCGATCACGACGCTAAACTAAATATATTATTTAGCGTTTTTAGACTGAAGTGCAGGTGCTTCTGGGTGGAAGATTAAGGTACAGTGATCGCCAACAACAACAAAGAGACTTTGCCAAGATCACTAGCGTAATCGTTTATGAGCATGGTAAGTATGATGCTAGGGTCTCAGTCTTTTGTACCGGTAGAAATATTTACACGGCTTACTGGGAGCTCAGCAATTTGTAGCAAAAGAAACGCAGATTTATAAAAATAAAGAAGTCGATTTAGGCACATGGGGGACTCAGAGGATTTGGACTAATTATCCCGCCAAAGCGAAGCGAAGGCGGGAAGGCAAAAATCTAGAGTAAAACCTAAATTACCGCCGCGTAGCCCGGCGCTCGGTAGTAGTATTAATAATCTGACCATTGTTTCAGTTTACTGTAAAGGGGGTTGTGACCAGCCGCGCTACGCTTGGCTGGGCTCCCTTCAGCGCCCCGCGTTTCGCTTCGCTCGCAATTTATAGATTGGATGTACTGCAGAATGCAATGAGCGGCTCGCTGGTGAGCTCGGCGCTGGGCCCGCCTCCGTAAATACTGCGCAGCTCTGCTTCGCGGGCACCCCGCGCAGTTGTCTATTTTAATATGGCTACGCGCACTCGCACACGTTCACCTTAAGTTGTCAAATCGCTTGCAATGTTTGTCCATTCTATGTATAAAAGTGTCTGCTGGTGCTCATTCTGATGTGTTTGCTGGCGTCTTTTCACCTGCATTACGAATATGACGTGTAAATACCGACAATTTGTTGCCTCGTCTAAATCGACTTGATATTAGTAAGACTTATTCTGGTGGCGTGCTAGGCATTGAACTAATCTTGATATCTGATTGGCCAAACTTAAGCTGTACGTCTGGACATAATCGTAAAAAACAATAATATTGATTTCCTATTGGTCTGTACAATACTTTGTGGGTACTTTAACAGATTTACGGTACAAAACAGGTTTACGAAGAGCGTACGTGTACCGTAAACCACGGTATATTAATTTGGTACCACCCTCGTCCAGTGTCTCAGAATACGACACTTAGATAATATTCTCGGAACCGGATGCATGGAGCTTGCATTTTACTGCGAGTCTATAAGGGGGGGCAACTATCAGGATCCGAGCGAGACGAGACATTTTCATCATATAAAAAGGAGCAGTTTTACGTGCTTACTCAACACATCAGCAAACGTTTCTCAGTGCAGCAGCTTTGGAGAACATTCCGTCGGGGTTATGTAGTGACTCGTTGCATCGCAAATAAGACCCCTGGCTTCTAAGTCAAGCGCAAAATTGGTACTACAGAAAGAGAGACATCGTCCAACGGCTCAGTCTGTAGCATGTTACAAGAATGGCTGGAGCTCACTTCGCGTTTTCCTCCCAAGTCCACAGGACCCTTCTCTTAAGCAGACCCCCCCTCTACAGCCATGCGCAGTTTTCTCTACGGTGTTCTTGCCTTTGCGGTTTTAGCTAGGAGCAGCGCCGTCGCAGCATTCCCAATCCCCGACGAGTCTCGCCCCTTGTCGAAGACATCTCCTGACACTGTGGCCCCAAGATCGCTTCGGATCGAGGCCCAAGAAGTTATTCAGAGCGGCCGGGGAGACGGATATGGTGGGTTCTGGAAAAACGTAGCCCAGAGTACTAACAAGATCGTCAAGAGGCCGGATATCAAGATAGGCAAACTTATCGAGGCGGCCAAGAAGGCAAAAGCAAAAATGACGAAGTCCTGATCGCTGTAAAAGGTTGAGCGAAGTATCCTCATGAAGTTAGAGAGTCTCAGCTACGACTTCGAGAAAGGGGTAGACTTTTTCATTTCTGTACTCCAAAAGATACGAGAAACGCCATAGAACGGTATACCAAGACTAGAAATACATTTTTTAACCTGAGTGAGGAAGTATTTCGGCGCATCAACTACATGTATGATTCGTGACCCATGAAAGTTTGCATAAGTCAATTTAGTGCATTTCTGACGGTGTATCGCACACAAAAATAATTATAACCTCGCTCAACTAAAAACTGTGATCGATACTATCCGCCGGTCTCTTAAAGATTATGTTATTAATAGTACAGTCGTGCACCTCCAATTCGGCACCGGTATCAGTCGATACCCTGCCAGATTGTATGATTACGCGAATCGGATGCGCAATTACCTTTGCCCTGGATATTACTATAAAATCGGTGGTGTCTCTAAGACGTACCGGCCCCAAGATAGGTTAAATTTCACACACTACTTTTTAAATATAAAATCTCAAAAGAACTTAAACAGTCATGTACCGTTAATTACCATCCTACACGTTTATTTTTTTTGGCTGTCTCAATTATAAAAGATAGATCCTGATAGACCTTAATTTGCTCTGCTACCGCGCGCAGAGAAGGCTGTCCCACCATTGGATTAAATCGTCATTATGTGGCGTACACCACGCCTAAGATGAACTGAACCGACCACGGTTCTAATAATTACCCAGAACCCCTACTTTTCAAGATAGCATATGTACTTAATAGATCTTGTCGAGAACTTTCAATTCATTTACTCGTTGCAGTCACCTATAAAGCTCGCACCAAGATACAACCGTTTAAAATTAAAAAAAAATCAAATTGTTGGTAAGTTCGGTTTTCTTTTGATTGGCGACTCTAGAGTGAAATTTCACTGGGAGTCCAGGTATGCCATTGGTTGTGACGGGGTGAGACAGCAGCTTGCGTTTGGCTTCCGAGAGTCTACAAATGCTCAGTGCACCGTAGTTGACATCCCTTATGTCGAAGGAAGCGATAGGCCGTAAGCTGAATGTATTTATAGGTAGGCTAATCTTGAGTTAAACATGCAAACTATAAGTCGCCTTTACTAAAGCTATGTCATCAGCCAATGGTTGGCCGCTGGTACAACGTACCAGGTATCCCGAAGTGTGATGTATCATACTGCATGTAATCAAAGGTTTACTTGGGGTTACGTCTCCCGTGACCCCCCCACCCACTAAGTTTCCGTTTACCGACCAATCAGAATTATAAAAATTGTATATCACAGACTCTCATTCTCAAAGCCGAAATACATCGCCTTAGCTGCGAGAACGCGGCGGATGCTCATTTCACGGTTAGAACCTCGCGTAGCACTTGAGTGCTCTTCTTCTCAGTCTCCTATTCGAGCCCCGTTGCACTGTAAAGAGCGGTGCGAGAGCACATTTTATGGCCCCTGTCGGAAAGGCGCAAGCCATGAGCACTAAGGCTCGCGGCAAAGGATTAGCACTCCACGAGTCCACTAAGGTGGCCTCGTAGGCGACCAATTCATTCGGTGATGCAGCTGCGAGAAAGCGTGCACGCAAACAGCGCAGTCCGGCACGCTCGGTCCCTCCAGACAGCCGACCTAACCCGTGCTTCATTGAACGTGACCTCGGTTCGAGCCGTGGACACGAGGCCGAGGCCGAAAGCACTGACTATGCTCATGTGGGCTCCATGGATGTACAAACTCCAGTGCCCAGCGAGCACGACGACAACAACCTGCTCTGAGCATCGTGCCGCCAAGACAAAGGATTCGCCCAAAGCTGGAGACGGCGAGGAAGAGAAACCTGTCAAAACGTTCTCTCGCTTACCGAGGGTCTTGCGCATACTACAATTGAGAGTATTCATTCGAGGCTTGTAGTAGTCGAGTGTTAAAAAGAAAGGACGTCCGAAAGTGGTTTTATTGAGTTAGTTGTTCTTGTCTTGCTTTGCTAGCTCCTTTCTCCTTTCCTTCCTAGTCCTCCTAATCACATGTAAATCCAAACACAAAAGATACATTTCGTCGGCAACGCCTATACTCGTCATAGGCGTTGGTGACGTAAATCACTTGAGTTTTGTATGTGGACTGGATATGCACAAATCCGACCCTGGCATTAACCATGCCACTCATTTGGGATCAGCCAATCAGATATCTCCATTCGACCCACTTGAACTTATGACCCCTCAGGACACACGCTTGCCACGCACCAACCGCGTGCTCCAGACACGTGCCTAGAGGGAGGAACCTAGGCGAAGTGACGGCGAAGTGCAGCCACAACCTTCTCACTCAATTCGATGTCTCGAGCTTGACGACTAAATTGCTCTTCATAAAGTAGCTTTGCGTCTTCGACGACAGACCTTTGGTAAGGAAGTCCGCGAGCTGGTGCTTGGTTTCCATATACCCCAGCTCAACTTCACCACTCATAACGTTTTCACGAATGAAGTGGTAGCGAATGTCGATGTGCTTGGTACGAGCTTGCTAACCGACGCTCTTCGCCAACGCCATGGCACCTTGGCTGTCCTCGTAGATCACCGTAGTCCCCACTTGTTCAGCACCAATGTCCTTGAGCAGTAAACGCATCCACACCACTTCCTTGATGCAGTCACTCAGAGCCATGTACTGAGCCTCAGTCGAGCTTAGGTTAACGGTCTTTTGAAACGCAGAGCACCAAACCACAGGTGCCCCGCACATCATGTGCATTGTCCCGCTAACCGAACGTCTGTCGTCGCGGATGCCAACCCAGTCTGCATCCGAGTAGGCGACGAGCTCTGCTCCTTGTGAACCGTCGTACACGATTCCCACGTCCTTGGTCTTCAACAGATAGCGCACCACCTTGATTCCAGCATCCCAGTGCTTCTTACCAGGGTTCCCCAGGAAGCGACTCAACTTTGCAACAGCAACCGAGATGTCAGGTCGTGTGGCACCCGCCATGTACATGATGCTACCAATGAGCGATCGGTACGGCTTCAACTTAATATTAGCCTTGGCTTCATCGGTCTCCGGTCTGTCCTTCTTAGTCAGGTGTAGACTTGGGTCTAGTGGCTTCAGGCTTAGCTTCGCGTTTTCTTGACCGATATTCTTGATGATCGACTCGGTGTATGCGCGTTGTGAGATGCCAAGCTTCTTGTCAGCGATGTCGTAATCGATCTCGATACCGGAAATGAAACGGGCGGGTCCTAGATCCTTGATCTTGAACTTCTCGGCGATGCTAGCCTTTACCAACGCGATGATGGCCTTGTATCGTGACGCAATCAGCACATCGTCCACGTAAAGACACACGATGCAATCGTCATCACCTGCATCGCTCGTGTAGATACACGGGTCAGCGTCAGCAGCGCTGAAACCACATGGTTTTGATATGGTTGTTGATGGTCTCGGTTCACACACGAGACGCCTGTTTGAGTGCGTACAGACTTTGCCGTTGCATGCAGACGACATCATCTTCACCTTGGGTCTCTGCCAGTACCAGTAGCACCCGAAGGCCTTCTAGCAACTCCATGTAGAACTCGTGTTTGAGCTTCCCGAACAGAAACGTTTGATCCACGTCGCACTGTTCGATGTCGAATCCTTCAGCACAACACTTGGCCAGCACTGCCCTGGTTGAGTTCAGCTAAACCACAAGCGCGTACGTCTCTTCGTAGTCGATGCCCTGCCGTTGTGAATACCCAATTGCCACAAGACGAGCCTTGTGTCGAATCACTTGCCCCTTCTCGTTGTGCTTAACGCGAACACCCAGCGGCAACCGATCGGGCGTTAGTCTTGGCACTAATTTCCAGGTAATGTTGTCTGCTAGCGACTTGAGCTCACTTGCAATCGCTTTCTTCCCGTTGGCTTGGTCCGCACTAGTGGTTTCCTCTGTGTACGTCTTCGGAACAGCCTCGATGGCAGCAATCAGCTGTCCACTCTCAACAATGGCGAGCTCGTTACCACTTGGCCTCGGTCGCGCTTGAGTCCTCTTCTGACGCTTTGTCTCACTCGACGAAGAAGCATCGATGACTTGCTTCTTGCTGGTGCTTGCCTCTTCAGGATCCGTTGTCTCGTCAATGCGCCGAGCACGCGAACGAGTAATCATAGGATGTGTCGAGTCGTATGGCACCATTGCAGTATCCATGCTCACATCACGTTGAAGTGCAAACACGTCAGCAGCTTCAACAGCGGTGGGAACGATTTGGGTGTAGTCATTCAGCGACATCTGATCCACGCGTGGCACTAATGCGTCAGTGTCGTCTTCTGCATCCAAGTGAGTCATGATGCGCGCAGGATCAGTTTTCTCTATAAACGTCACGGTGCGCCCGTTTTGCACCTTTCCTGTTAACATGTTGAGGACGCGGTACCCCTTCACTCCGTCACCGTAATCCATGAACCGACACCTGAACGCTTTGCATCCAGCTTGAGACGTGTCTCGTCGGGGATGTGAGCGTATCCAACTGCGCCGAACACCTTCGCGTTTTTGAGGTGTGGTTTGGAATGACTCCCAATCTCGAAGGGTGTCTTCACATTGACCGAGTTGGGGATCCGATTGATGATCCCAGGCCGCAGTGCTAACTGCCTCTGCCCACCACTTCCTGTCGGTTCTCTCATGATAAAGCATGCAGCGAGCCATCTCCACGAGGCTCCGATTCATCCGCTCAGCCAGTCCAATCTTGCTGAGTGTGTACGGCACCGTCTTTTCATGCTTGATACGGTTGAGGTAGGCCCTTAAACGCCCGGTCCGTGTACTTACCACCGTTGTCCGAACGCAAGAGGTTACTTGTTTTGCCGGTTGCATTCTCTTTTCTGGCCTTGTACGTTTTGAACTTCGACAGTACTTCCGATTTGGCCTTCATGATGTAGACCGTAACGTGGCGTGAGTAGTCGTCAATGAATGTGACGGTGTACGTATAACCACCAGGTGTGGTGGTTTGCATCGGACCCATTACGTCCGTATGCACCAGGTTAAGCACACCGGCACTCTTGACGCTCTTCTCCAGATGTCTCGGG